ATTGGTACAAATTAACTGGAGAATAAATCATTTCTCTAGCTGTGGAAAAACTTCTCCTTTTCTTGAACTTTACCCATAGGGAAAATTGTATTTTCTATTTCCTTTAATCCATTAATCAATTTCCAGGAAATGAACATTTACTGGAAAAACTTTTCTTTTTTTCTAGTTTAAAATACCTTTTCATATTTTCTTTAAGCCATTTATTCATTTTCCAGAAAATAAAATCTTTACTGGAAAATGAAAAAACAAAACTGATTCATACTCTGCACAGTTCCTTCGGCCCAAAACGGCAAGGCGGCCCACGGCCCACGCCCGCGTGGGTGCTTCCCACGCCCAGGCCGCAACCTAGGCCTGGGCCGGCAATTCGGCCTGGCGCGCGCACCCGCCTGGGCTAAAAGCCAGTCCGCTCTATCTGAGCCGTCCGATGGAGATCGATGGCTGCGCGACGATTTCGCGCGATCAAAACCACAGCCGCGGCCCGCGACCGGAAACCCTAGGGTCATTTCACTTCCTCCACTTCTCTCTCTACGCTCTCTCTTCTCAGAGCTATGAGCACCGAGCGAGCGAAAACGGTGGAGGGGCAGAGCCATGGCGCCGTCGCCGGCCCCCTCGCCGGCGTGCGCGCTCCCCAGCGGGTGAGCACGCCGCCGTCGAGCGCCCTGGCCGCGGCGCCCCTTGGCCGAGCCCGGCGAAAATTTTTCCCGGCTCGGTCTTCTTCTCCCTCGCCAGCGAAACGATTCGCCCGGTAATTAGGGTTTGGATTTTTTTTCTCTTCTTTTCTCTGATTTGCTTTTGTGATGTTTCTTACTTTTTTCGGAGTTCATCCGAATGGATCTAGGGTTAGGGTTCGTGTCCCGACCCTGTTCTTTTCCCCTTCCCCTTTCGGATTTGAATCTCGTTCCTCTTTCCCGAACTGGTTATGGGGTATTAGGGTTTGGATCTGGGGTTCCTTTCCTTCTTCCCCTTCGGATTTGAGTTGTCTCTTTTTTTTCTTCTTTTCTTTTGCTTGTTCACCCGAAAAGGTTATCCCAGTTCTAGGGTTAGGGTTTTGGCTCTGTGAGCCTAGGGCCCTATTTCTTCTCTGATCCGAATGGATCTGTTCTTTTCTTTACTTTTGTCGTGCGTCGTCGAACGGTGCGGCTCCTTTCCCCCTCGCGCGGTGGCGGTGATGACCGGTAGACAGTACCCCGGTCTCTTTCTCTCTTTGCTTTTACCCGGTTAGGGTTAGGGTTACACACTTAGTAACCTGCTCCGATACCATTGTTAGGATCGGGATGAGTACCTCTGTGTGTGTAGCCGTAGATGCGGTGAAAGCTCCTCTCCTTCTCTGTAGATGCACCGCAGCGGGAGACACCGGTGCCGTCAACGTAGCAGCTGTCCAGCGCGGTGGAGACGATCACTAGTGGCGCTGTGGAGGTCCTGCAGAGGCGAGGCAGAAGCGGCGAGGTAGCGATGCCGTGGAGATCCAGAGGGGACGGTGGTGACCCTGCAGTGGGTCGACGGCGGTGGTTGGGGCATATCCCGTCGCTGGTAGCACGGCCTTTAGATCGGATTAGGGTTACTGTAGGTGGGATGACGGCTCACGGCGAACCTCGTAGTCCGAGCTCTCACCCCCACATTCCTTTTATGTGTGCTGTGCGACAGGGGCCCACCAACCGGATTAAGGTTGGGCTCCCCCGATCAGGGAGCAGAGATAAAGACCCAATAGACCGTTAGACCTATTGGTGGAGATCAACTAACATGACCTACCCATGGCAAGGAAGGCGTCGCTACAGCGCTTCATGGAGATGCGCAAGGGACGACTTGCCATGCTATCCTTGCCGTCGCTGCCGTGCCGACCCTGGCTGCCTGGCACCGCTTTGCCGTGACCCCGTCATGCATGTCGTTCGGCTTCGATGCCGGCAGGGAGATCGGGGTGCCTGTCGTCGCGTTCCTGACCATCAGCGCCTGCGGCCTTATCGAGCTGGGCCTCGTGCCATTCAAGCACGACTGCACGAGGAGGACCTTGCGGACGTCCATGGCGGCCACCTCGTCACCGTGGTGACCAGCGCGTACGGCATGTGCGACGGCATGCTGCTGCAGGACAGCCAGGACTTCCTCAGCTTCATCCGCACCCACAGACCGTGGCGACGTCATGGTCAACTTCCTCCTGCATGAGTCCGAGCAGATATCCTCCGCGAGTGCCAAGAGATACCCGCCGGCAGCCCGCTCGCGGGCCTCGGTTGCAACCTCTGGAAGGAGCAGGAAGACGTCCTTGAGTGGCTCACCGGTCGCGCGCCGCGGTTCGTGGTCACGTGGTGCACTGGTGTACGTGAACATGAACTACGACAGCATATCACGGTATGACGAACTCGCAGCTGCTCGATTTCGCCTGGGGTCTGGCAGACGGTGGGTACCCGTTCGTGTGGAACATCTGTCCGGACCTAGTCAAGGGTGACTCCGCCGTGCTGCCATCACCAGAGTTCGTGTCCGCCATCGGGAGCCGCGTGCTGCTGACTAGTGTCCACAGGAGGCGGTGCTCCAGCACGAGGCAGCTAGCTGCGTCGGCGACAGAGCGCTCTCATGCGGCAGCAGCATTCAACGCGGCTTTGGGCGTGGCAACGTGGCGTTTGTGTTGGCGGCGTGGTCGGCGATGTACACGGCGCAGCTATGGTGCGGGTTGGGACGGTGGCGCCAACTTACGCGACTGCAAACTCCATAGCCCGGCCACCTGGGGAGCAGCACGTACCACCGAGACAAGGGAAGGTCTGGGCGGCTCAGCTAGTAGAATTTGGTGCCAAGGAAGCCGACGAACAAGGGACGATGGGCAGAGCAAGGAATAGTAGCACACTGCAACGGCTAGGAAAAAAATACATGTGCCCTCACACCACAATAACATCTTATGCCAGCTAGGACTGCCACCTAATCAAAACCGGGTATAAAACCACTATGAGAGGTTAAATATCTGGTTTTCAATAGTTTAAGGTGTAAAAAGTCTAGTTTTATAGGTTGAGAGGTTAGGTAGACAGCCAACCAAACGTGAGGGAGATATATAGACTTTTTCCCTTCAGCATACGCCTACTCCATGTATCCCATAAACATAAAAGAAGCAAACTATTCTCTCCCCCGATTCTATTACTCAAGGCATGTACAACTCATAAACAGTCTGCTATCTGTAAGTTTTTTGAACCCGCGCATAGACAATTAAAATGACAGCTCATACAATGGGTTGTCTATTTAACCGTCTATAAGCTGTTTAATGCTTGCATGTATCCACGATTAAATATGAGTATGATCCCTATATACAAGTGTATTGCTAGTTGATACAAAACAGATTAAGCATAATTAAGTTAAATATGATATGATATTTTTAGACCAGTAATTTCGGCAACACAATCAAACATGAATATATTTTCTGGTAGTGTCGTACTGATACGAGTAGGTTACTTAACTTTTGCATTTTTTATATAGCAAAACAACTTTAAAAAAATATATAAAAAGGGTCCCACAAAATAAAACATACACAAAACCTTCAAGGTGTAATATGTGCTGCATCACTTCTAAATTATAGTTCTAGTCGAAAGGAACCTAATAAAATTCGAATTGTAATTTTTGGATTCAATATTGATTTTATATGAATTTTATAAGTTTCAGTCAATTTATGCATTCTTTGGAAGAAGACGAGAAGCTAGCAAAAACCGACGTCAAAAAAGGAAGCTAGCAAAAACACTTTCGGAACTCACGTACTCTGCGTCGCTCACGTAAGTTTCATTTTCTCTTCAACGCCCACACAAGATCCACCCGTCCATAGCAAAAACACTTTCGGAGCACACGTACTCTGCGTCGCTCTCATCATATCTTGAGACGACAGCACAAGATCCGTCTGCTGCATGGTGAAGGATGTTTTTGCAAAATTTAGCCGCGTTTAGTTCATCCGCCGATTCGGCGCCGAGACAGCAGCTACAGTACCATTTTGTTTGCTGCTGGTAATAAGGATGTTTTTGCAAAATTTACAGCTCGTGATGAGACGACTGTAATTAGCACAACATTTGTACGTGGTCAGTATCGCAAATTTGATGCGCGGGAATCTTTAGTTTGAACGCCAAATTGCGGAAATGGGGAACTAAACAAGGCCTTACAGCTATGAGACGACTGCCAGCACACCGTTGTACGTGGTCAGTCTTTTAGCGCGTGTTTAGTTTGAACACAAAATCCCAAAATCTTCTGATATTAAATCGTATGATGAAAAAAACTAATTGCACAGTTTAAATGTAGATGAAAAAAAACTAATTGCACAGTTTGGTGGGAAATTACGAGACGAACGTTTTGAGCCTAATTAGTCCATGTTTGAATACTATTTGCCAAATAAAAACGAAAGTGCTACATTAGCCTAAAATCCCAAATTCATGAAACTAAACACGCGCTTATTTAAATGAGCAGTTGTATATGTCTTAGTTTAATTTACTTATAAGCAGGACTAGTTCTTTTTTTGTTTTTATTTGTAACAACTAATTCTTTTTTTTTTGTTTGGTGAACTGCAGCAACTCCTTTGAGACCCCTTTGGACACATGAAAGCAAAAATACAGAAATAGAAAAAACATAGGAATTGCACTGGAAAACATAGGAATTTGAAAAGGAATGATCATTTTTTGAACGGAGAAAAGGAATGATCATTTGGATGGACCATAGATAAACGCAGGATTTTTAACAACAGGTTTGAGTGGATGCTAAAGTTCCTGTAGTTTTTCTCTAAAACAACATGCAAAGGAAAAATTCTACACTATTTTTATGCTCCATTCATGTGAACCAAAGACATAAATAGTAACAATTCCTATAGAATTCTCTATTTTTTTCCTACGAACCAAAGGAGGCCTGAACTTTTGGGGTGGGGGGACTTCCCACACAGGCACGCAGATGAGCACGCCGCACACTGCACCCCCTCTTGGCACACCCTGCTCGGCGTTGCGAAAGTAGTACTACCACTCTTCTCGCACACGGCACACGCTTCGCTGAGAAGGAAGATGGCGGCCGCTTCGAAGAGCGGTGGTCCGGCGGTCGGCATCGACCTCGGTACGACTTACTCGTGCGTGGCCGTGTGGCGGCACGACCGCGGCGAGGTCATCGCCAACGACCAGGGCAACCGCCTCACGCCATCCTGCGTGGCCTTCACCAGCACCGAGAGGCTCGTCGGCGAGGCGGCCGTGAACCAGGCCGCCCTGAACCCCATGAACACCATCCTCGGTGAGTACTTCGCCGGTGTTTCTCCATTCTGTTGCCTCCATCTCAGTAGTTGTTGGTCGCAGGGTTAAGATTAAAAGATCTCGTACACTCATACCAGCGGAACTAAAGGTAGTTTAGACTTTTTTCAGCGCAGTAAAGCTAAAAGTGGACGGAATGAAGGTAAGAAAGTTTAGTGTTATGATATTAGGGTGTATTCAAACTTTTTAGTGGTCCATTGACCAGAACCATCTTTCAGTTAAAATGCTCGTTTAGTATCCCCAGGCTCCTCCCCTTTCCGCGTGAACTGTTTCTTCAATTCTTCTTGTTGAATCTAGAACGCAAATTTATCTAAAAACCAAAGTCAAATTAGAAGAGCGGGGTGGGGGGGGTAGCAATGCTGGCAACTGTCCAGTGACAACCACAATACTATCACGTTGCTACACGGACCGTTATATTTCTTAATCTGTTTAATGACTGCAGATTCACAATATCTGAACCTGGGCATATGCAAGCTAAGGCAGTGTCAAATCATATTCTTTTTTTCTAACAGAAATGACATTTGACAGATGACAACCAAATTATCGAAGTTAAGCTATACATGGTTCATCTGATTGACTACATGGCTAATTTTCTACAGAGGTGAAGCGACTAATTGGCCGCCGGTTCAGCATCAAGTCTGTACAAGAAGATGTCAAGTTGTGGCCTTTTCAAAGTCGTCGCAGGTAATGACGAACGGCCAATGATCGTTGTGCAGCATGAAGGCAAGGAGAAGCAATTCATGCCTGAGCAGATCTCCTCCATGGTGCTGGTCAAGATGAGAGAGACAGCCGAGGTATATCTCGGTAAAAAGATCAAGAACGCTGTCATCACCGTGCTTGTCTACTTCAACAACTCCCAGCGCCAGCCTACCATTGACGCCGGTGCCATTGCCGGCCTAAATGTCATGCGCATTATCAATGAGCCAACCGCCGCTGCCCTTGCATATGGTCTTGAGAAGATGCCAGTCAGCAGCAAACGAAGGACAGTGCTCGTTTTTTATCTTGGTGGTGGTACCTTTGATGTCTCCCTCCTCAACATTGATCCGGGAGTCGGCATCGATAAGGGTCTCTTTGAGGTGGTGGCCATCGCCGGTGACACTCACCTTGGCGGGGCGGACTTCGACAACGAGATGGTGAAATACTCTCTCCGGGAATTTACACGGAAACACGGGAGGATGGACATCCATAGCAACCAGAAGGCGCTTCGGCGGCTGAGGACTGCCTGCGAGAGAGCAAAGAGGATGCTGTCTTCCACCGCACAGACCACCATTGAGGTCGACTCACTCCATGACGGCATTGACTTCTGCACCACCATCACCCGATCTCGATTCGAGGAGCTCAACAAGGATCTTTTCAGCAAGTGCATGAAAGCTCTGGATAAGTGCTTATGTGATGCCAAGATGGACGAGAGCAGCGTCCACGACGTCGTCCTCGTGGGCGGCTCCACCCGTATCCCCAAGGTGCAGAGCATGCTTCGGGATTTCTTCTATGGGAAGGAGCTTTAGCGGAGCATCAACCCTGATGAAGCTGTTGTTTATGGTGCTGCCATCCAGGCTGAAAGAGAACCGTGACGTATAAGAGAAGGGTAAATTAAACAATTTATAAGTCTAAATCTAAACTATGATCTCTTTTTTATTTTTAACAAAACCTATATAAAAGATAAACTATCTAAATGTGCAACTACGATTTTACCAGTGTGATGCTATCTCTACCGTAAAATGAGTTATGCAAACAATGTAAATGCGGAACCTAAAGAGTAAGGTAAAGATATGTAAACTTCCGTCGACGACTCAGATATTTTTTACCAAGGTATCGAAAAGCGTGTAAGCTTTTCTCTAGTCCTCGTTGGAGCCCCTCGCAAGGAATTCCTCGTAAGAGTCAAGCTCCCAGTCAGGTAACTCCGTGGATAGCCCCGAGTCTTTCCCACGCTCAAGTGGGTCTCCGGTGTGCTGTTCGACAAGCCTCTTCCGGACTGCTCCTCGTCGTCTTCACTATCAAGCTTCCGACCGAAACGTCGCGGGCCTTATTTCCTCCGGTACACGGTGGCGGTCACACCACAAACGCGGTTGGTGTGATCTCGCAAGACTACAAGCCCCTTCGATGTACAACAATGATGCGCTCAGGCACTGAGTAGTAAGAGGTATGCAAACCTCACTGAACACTAGGCCTAAACCTAGAGCAAGCGCATAAGCGGTGGTCTAATCAACCTAAGCACTTTGGAAAGTACCTACGCTAATCACCTAAAGAATCACTAAGCACTATGCAAGTGAAGATCACTAAAATGATGTATCAACACCCTTAGTATGTTTTCTTAGCTTCACTCTATTCAAATGATCGGTTGGAGGTGTATTTATAAGCCCCATTGAGAAAGTAGCCGTTGGGAACGAAACCTAGCTTTCTGCTACTGACCGGACGCTGATCACGTCCTGACCGGACTCGTCCGGTCGTCCCGACCGTTAGAGCGCGCGTTGATCGGACTCGGCCGAGTCCGGTCATCATCGACCGGACGTGACCGGTCGCGCTGACATCGTTCTAGAACCTCTCTGGACTCGATCGGACCCTACACTTCGTGCGTCCGGTCATCCAGTCTGCTGCGTCCGGTCATGCTGAAAACACTGTCGTGACGATGAACAGTATCATCGGTGCGTCCGGTCACTGCTTCGCTCAGCGTCCGATCACTGCTGTTGACGCCTGCTGTTGTCTGGCACTTGATCGGAGCGTCCGGTCACTCATAGGGACGCGTCCGGTCACCTTTGCTTGGCTCATTTCTTCGCGATCTTACGTCCGGCTTGGTTTCAATCTTCGTGCTTGAACTTTACTTGACCTTGTATGTCTTCTATGTATCTTCACATGTCTTTCTTAAGGTGTTGATTATCGGATCATCATGTCGCCTTCGTCCAAGTCACGTTTTGCATACTATTGAACTACAAAACAATTACTTACAAATTTATTAGTCCAATTTTGATTGTGTTGGTCAACAAACACCAAAATACAAAGAAAATGGACCTATGGTCCATTTTTCTTACAATCTCCCTCTTTTGGTGATTGATGACAACACGACAAAAACAAGCAAATAATAAAAATTTTAGAATTTAAAAACTATTTAATTGCTAGGATGCAATGCAAAAAGGGCAACGTTGTAAGATGCTAAAATATACCACATGTAAATATCTTTGGAAACTTATCTTGCCCTTACAAATGACCCCATGTGGCATTATGGATTTAAGCCTCTCCCTGACTCCATAATCCACCATTCTTCCTTTCTCGGACCATTACCACTTGTGAATTATTATGATCAAGCTTGATTTTAGTCCTATAAATTTCCCTCCTTTGGAATCAAACACCGAAAAAGAAGACATTAGTAGCACAAAAGAGGGTCAAACTTTATGATTCTTTGTATGTGGAGTAGAATAGGTCACAAAATTTGACTCTCACATTACATAGACTAAGCTCATCCTAAATATATGTATATATATGATGGAGAATGTGGTTTATGCATAATTAGTAAATTAATATTAAAGGGAGTTTAATCTATATAATGCATGGAGAAAGCATATAAGTACCAAAGTGAAATCAACATGATGATATCGGTTTAGAAATACCACATGTGGAAACTGATTTGATTTATACCACTTACAATAGGTGGTGGATATTTGAAGTATGATGCTTAGCTCTGGGGACTCTATTTTCCTTGCAATGAGACTACTACACACACGATAAGCTTAAAAAGGTGTTAGTCTCAATCAAAGCATCCAACTTGTAGAGAAATTTTCCCCTAAATTTGTGCACACAAGTATAGAATACTTGTAGGAGACATGCACATTGATTTTAGAATAAAAAATGCCACTTGAAAGATGACATCACATGAATGCGATAATCATTTTCGAAAGTGATATTCGAGAGAAATCATTTACAATTTGGACTTTGGCACATATTAGATGAACAATTGTAAAACAAGCTATGTGTCGTGCTCCTAAACAATTTAAACCATGTAGGTTCCTCCAAGAGTTAAGAGTGAAACCAAACAAGCCTACCATATGATTTACCTAGTGTATGCATGACAAAAGATTTAAGCATGCAAATGCAAACCTAGGCATGAAAAGAAAGTAGATGCTAATTGAAATTGCAAGAAAAAAATTGATACCAATTGAAATTGCAAGAAATTAAATCTAGTTACCTAACATGGAAAGAGGAATTTAGGTCCATAGTGTTCACTAACCCACTTGGCAATTAACATGATCCAATGTGATGCACGCCATGAAATGCACTCATATTTTGCTAATTCCCCAAATTTCCTGAAGTCCATCGGACTTCTTACTTTTCTTTCAGGATCCAAACCTTCGTGGTGCTCTTCATATTTGAAATTATTTTCTTTGGCACCTAAAAGCGTTTGACCCCATTGTTGGCTTGCTTGTTCACCTTGATGGCTACCACCTTGTCATTTTTTTCTTCTTCAACAAGTATGGTGTGGAGGCCTTCTTGTCCACCTTGTTGGTGTAGGTGTTGGAGAACTTGCTTGTTTGCTTTTTCTCTTTCTTCTTAGCTCCTCTCCCATTCTTCACCTTGCACTCATCGGACTTGCGGCCTTCCTTGTGACATACGTAGCAAACCACGGTTTGTCCTTCATCAAGCTTCTTCACTCCCTTGACGGTGTTATCTTGATGAAGTTGGGCTTGGTCCGTCTTGCCTTTCACTTGAGTCAAGTCCTTATTGAGGTGAGCCACTTCTTGCTTGAGTTGCTCATTCTCCTTTGCGACTTCTTGTGTGCATATTTCTACAATAACTTTCTCAACACAAACTTAGTTGCACAAGGGTGAGTCTAAACATAAATCATTACAAGAAGTAGAGGCATCCTTTTTAGGCATGTCAAAAATTGAACCTTCCTTTTTAGGTGCCTTGGTGGAGGTTGTACCAACAGCTTCAAGATTTGCAACTTTATTAGTTAGCTCTTCACAATGTTTGCACATGGTTTTTATTTTAGCGAGCAAATTTTTATAAGCATCTTGTGAGCTAGCTAACTTTTCCTTTATTTTTTTATTTTTCTTTACAAGTTGCTCATCATTGATTATGCAATTATTTGTGTTTGTACTAGTCTTAAGTTGCTCAATTTTAGTAGATAGCTCCATATTAAGACTGGCAAAAGTTTCATATTGTTCAAGCAAAGTAGCATAAGCTTATTATGAGCTATCTAGTTTTTCTTTTAATTTTTCAAGCTTTTTTTGTTGACTAGCGCAAATTTTAGCAAAGTTAAGATTTTCTTGCATAATTTTATCATAAGAAGGTAGTTCATCATCACTATTATTGTCACTATCACTAAAATGGTGTATCAGCACCCTTGGTATGTTTTCTCTGCTCCACTCTACTTAAATGGCCGGTTGGGGTCTATTTATAAGCCCCATCCAGAAAGTAGCCATTGGGGATGAAACCTAACTTTCTGCTACTGACCCGACGCTGATCACGTCCTGACCCGACGCGTCCGGTCGTCCCGACCGTTAGAGCACGCGCATTGATCGAACTTAGCTAGAGTCCAGTCATCATCGATCGGACGCTGCACTTCGTGCGTCCGATCGTCCAGTCTGCTGCGTCCGGTCATGCTAAAAACACTACCGTGATGATGAACAGTGTCATCGGTGTGTCCGGTCACTGTTTCGCTCAGCGTCCGGTCACTGCTGCTCAACGTTCGATCACAGCTGTCGACGCCTGCTGTTGCCTGGCACTTGATCGGAGCGTCCGGTCAGTCATAGGGACGCGTTCGGTCACCTCTGCCTGGCTCGTTTCTTCACGATCTTGCGTCCGGCTTGGTTCCAATCTTCGTGCTTGAACTTTGCTTGACCTTGTATGTCTTCTATGCATTTTCACATGTCTTTTTTGAGGTGTTGATCATCGGATCATCACGTCGTCTTCGTCCAAGTCATGTTTTGCATTCTATTGAACTACAAGATAATTACTTATAAATCTATTAGTCCAATTTTGATTGTGTTAGTCATCAAACACCAAAATCCAAAGTAAATAGGCCTAGGGTCCATTTTCCATACACAGGCCTCTATTCTCAGTGGTGCAACGGACGATGGGAGATTAGTGGATATCCTTCTGCGCGACGTTACTCCACTCTCGCTTGGGATTGAGACTTAAGATAATTTTATAATGTGCGTGGTGATCCCGAGGAACACTGCGATCCCTACCAAGAAGACAGCGCGACGCCTATTGCTAATGACACTGCAAGCGTCTTAGTTTGGCCTGAGCCGCTCGCGCATAGGCGGCCGGTGCGGAGCGTGCGCCGGGTTGGACCACAGCGCAGCTGCGACCTTCTGTGCTGCTTTTGGCGGCTGTAGCGGTGAGCGGATAGAGCGATCCATCTAGTGCGTCCCTACTCCCCTGACGGGGAGAGAGGCCGCGAGTCAGAGTCACGATGCGGAGCTTTCTGCCCGTTGGACGGCGGCGGCTTCCATCAGCGCCCGAAGGTTCCGGTGGATCACCTGTTTCTAGGGCTCGTTCGGCTCGGGAA